TCTAAGACTTCGAAGGTGAATATTTTAGTGACACCTGTATGACATAACTTTCTGCTATCCTCTATAAAAAGTCTAAATTTCAATCATATCATCCCAGTAGACTTTAAAATGACAGACCTCAAAGTGCACATTGTATTTGATATTCTCTTGTAGTCCTATAATGAAACTTAAGCATAAATAATTGTAGATCTATACATTAATATAAAGCTGAAAGAAAGGACTCAATACAGGAGCAAAAAAATAGTGTTCTTATTTCTTTCTGCCACCTTGAAAAACATATAGCTTTGATAACTATGAAACAAGAAGGACTGATACCCAATGGGCAAAAAATCAGTGAACCCTCTTCTTAAGTTATTTTATATCTTGGGAATCTATGCATTCCTTTATGAATGCTTTTTTATATCTCTCTACTTCTTCCTACATAACAGCTCTATCTGCTTTATCTACATCACAGTTTCAATATTATATTTATCCTATATATCCATACAATAAAACAGTATGAATGCATGCCCATTTGATAAATAATTTATTTATCTATGAACTATGAATGTGTGCTATTGCAATAACATATTTCATAGATTATATACCTTCCTATAACAAAAAGTTAAAAGGATAAGAACAAATACACATTAAAGTTTTACTTTCCTTTCTTCACTCAGGGGATTACCTTGTGAACTACTCTGGTAATGTTTAAGCCACTCTGGAAAATACTAGATTTTACTATCTCTCAATAAGAGGAGTGGATTAATATTATAATTTTTTTTGACAGGCAGAGTTAGACAGTGAGAGAGAGAGACACAGAGAAAGGACTTCCTTTCATTGTTTCACCCCCCAAATGGCCGCTGTGGCCAGCGCAAGGCTCCGATCCGAGGCCAGGAGCCAGGTGCCACAGCGCCGGCCAATATTATAGCTCTTTAGCAAGTGTGCACTAAAATTTCAAACAATAGACATCTACATATCATATTATAATAGATATTGCTATGAGATTCACATAGACCAAGATAATCATTACTCTGGTTACAGGTAGTATTGCGGGCTATTGTTGATTCATAACTGAGTTAATGTAACTCTACCCCTACAGCAGTCATAATCATCTAATCTTGGATCAGTAAAGGGGAATACAGATACTCCTACTTGACTCAATAGCACAATCTGAAAGGATAAACCTGGCCCCTGAGTTCCTATTGGGTTCAGATGAGGCTTCTGTTAAATCACAATACAGTTCTCTTGCTCCTGTTGCACAAGGACAATTCGAGCTTTCCCTTCCTGATTTCAAGGCACTTACCACATATCTCCTGCACACAAACCTCTGTCCCAGAGTTCCTTTCGTGAGGAACCCCAAATAAACCATGCTTCAGCAAAAGCTAGAAATTAAGTGCACATGCATATCTATTTCCTATAAGGTTATTTATTGAGGTGTTGGAAATAAGAATTAAAGTAATACCCTAAGTCATCTTGAACTTTTGGTAGGTTCTCACTGAATTTGGATGAATATTTTACCCAGAGGTATTGTCTTATCTTGTAATGGATATACAGAATTCAAATTAAGAGAAAATTTAAGCAGGTGCTGCGGCTCAACAGGCTAATCCTCTGCCTCGTGGCGCCGGCACACCGGGTTCTAGTCCCAGTCGGAGTGCCGGATTCTGTCCCAGTTGCCCCTCTTCCAGGCCAGCTCTCTGCTATGGCCTGGGAGTACAGTGGAGGATGGCCCAAGTACTTGGGCCCTGCACCCCATGGGAGACCAGGAGAAGAACCTGGCTCCTGCCATTGGATCAGAGTGGTGACCGGCCGCAGCGCACCGGCCGCGGCAGCCATTGGAGGGTGAACCAATGGCAAAGGAAGACCTTTCTCCCCTCTCTCTCTCTCTCACTGTCCACTCTGTCAAAAAAAAAAAAAAAAGAGAGAGAAAATTTAGCAGGAACATGACATCCCTTCATCTGAGCACTTGAGTTACAGTCACTGTAGACTTCGAGTCATTCCTTCCAAGGACATCAGGTTTTGTACTTAATGACCTCTGCCATTCTGCCCCAGGTCCCACGGCTCATTTCAGCTCCTGACCCAGACCCAAAACTACCCAATTCTAAGAAACTTCTCAGCACTTTGTCCACTGGCAGCATAAGGCATTTAACTAGTGTACCTTCGATATTATTTTTGAAGGAATTATTAATTTAACTCATTAGAGACTGTGAGGTTTAACTTATCAGTGGTTCTGCTACCACCTTTCACTTACATTTTCTCAGTGGATATTATTTTTGATTCTGCTATCCATTATTAGAACTGCTTTCCTAATCAGCATGACAGAATAAAGAGAATAGAGATGATTGCCTCCTGGCAAAAAGAAATATATGGTTTTGGACAGCAGTCCCAATATCCTTCTTACATACCCTTTCCTTAATATACTGATGACCAGATTTCGTTGTTTTTGACTGCTGTATAGTATTCTATAGAGCACATGTCCCATTATTTCTTTATTCAGTCTACTGTTGATGGGCATTTGGGTGGGTTCCAGGTCTTAGCTATTGTGAATTGAGCTGCAATAAACATTAATGTGCAGACCGCATTTTTGTTTGCCAATTTAATTTCTTTTGGGTAAATTCCAAGGAGTGGTATGGCTGGGTTGTATGGTAGGGTTATATTCAGGTTTCTGAGGAATCTCCAGACTGATTTCCATAGTGGCTTAACCAGTTTGCATTTGCAACAAGATGTTGGAATCTGGAAAACATTAAGCTGAGTGAATTAAGCCAGTCCTAAAGGGACAAATATCATGTTTTCCCTGATCGGCAAAAACTAACTGAGCATCAAAGGGGAAACCTGTCGAAGTGAAATGGACACTATGAGAAACAGTGACTTGATCAGCTCTTGGCCTGACTGTTGATGTACAATGTAATACTTTATCATTTTTAGTATTTTTTCTTTGCTTTGTTCTAGTACTATTGGTTGAACTCAGTAATTAACACACAATTATTCTTAGGTGTTTAATTTTTAATTGAAAAGTGATCCATGTTAAAATAACAGTGGGAATAAAAGAGGGAGGAGATGTACAATTTGGGACATGCTCAATCGGACTTCCCTCAAATGGTGGAGTTAGAATCGTGCCAGGGGATCCCAATACAATCCCATCAAGGTGGCATGTACCAATGCCATCTCACTAGTCCAAGTGATCAATTTCAGTTCACAATTGATCATAATGATAGGTCTAAGAGTCAAAGGGATCACACAAACAAGACTAGTGTCTGCTAATACTAGCTGATAGAATCAAAAAGGGAGAGAACGATCCATCATGGGAAGTGGGATACACAGCAGACTCATAGAATGGCAGATGTCCTAAATAGCACTCTGGCCTCAGAATCAGCCCTTCAGCCCTTAAGGCATTTGGATATGGCTGAAGAGCCCATGAGAGTATTTTAGGCATGGAAAGCCAAGACACCCTAGAAAAAAAAAAAAAAAAAAAAAAGAAGACCTAGATGAAAGATATCTGTGAGTGAGATCCCAGCAGAAAGAACGGGGCCATCAAAGAAGGAAGTACCTTTCTCTGAAGGAAGGAGAGAACTTCCACTTTGACTATGACCCTGTCAGAATAAGATCGAAGTTTGTGAACTCAAAAGGCTTCCATAGCCTTGGCAACTCATGACTAGAGCCTAGGGAGATTACTGACGCCATAAACAAGAGTGTCAAATTGTTAAGTCAACAGCAGGGGTCACTGTGTAGTTACTTCTCATGTGGGATCTGTCCTTAATGTGTTGTCCAATGTGAAGTAATGCTATAACTAGTACTGAAACAGTATTTTACACTTTGTGTTTCTGTGTGGGTGCAAACTGATGAAATCTTTATTTAATACATACTAAATTGATCATCTATATATAAAGATAATTGAAAATGAATCTTGATGTGAATGGAATGGGAAAGGGAGCGGGAGATGGGAACGGTGTGAGTGGGAGGGAAATTATGGGGGGAGTAAGCCATTGTAATCCATTAACTGTACTTTGGAAATTTATATTTACTAAATAAAAATAAGTAAATAAAATAAAAAATATACTGATGACATTCTTTTCGAGCGATTCCTAAGAATTGACTGAATAAACTTAATGTTTGAAGAAAACCATGATATTTATATATATATATATATGCATATATATATACTGTATTACATATGGCTTAAAATTCAGCACTATTTAGTTATTGTTTCTGATATACAATATGAAAATTATTGAATATCCATATAAAGTTTTGTTTTTAACACAATGAAAATATATGCACATAATGTGATATAAAAGCAAAAAATAACTTTAAAAAGTCCTTCTAGCCCTAAACACCTACAGATTCAGAATGGAGGCTGATATTTACAGATTACAATATAACATGTGATTCCCATTAATTAAACATGTCATTGAAATATTGTTTTGATAGATATCTTCATGTTTAATATAACATGTCTTAGTAGTATATAGTCATTTCATGAATTACTATTATAAAGGTAAAAAAGAAATATTTTATAAACAAACATTAAGTAAATTATAAGATAATATAATATTGATAAAATTCAATACTAGAAATGCATACTATTCATTTATAACTTAAATTTCATTGAAAAATGCAGGAAAAGCCTTTATAGAAATATTCAGAGAATCATCTGGATGATAATTTTCACATATTCTATACATGATGTATTTTTTTCTTAATGATCTCAAGGATTTCTCTTTTTTAAATTATTCATTGTGGACAAAATATATATAGAGAGTCTCACTGTTGAAATGCTGAGGTGGTGGCTTGCACTTCACAAGCAGATTACTCACCCCTTAAAATGACATTTCACTTTTTCTCTATATGAAAATCACCCAACAACACTTATAAAACCCTATATGAAAACCATTTTTTCCAATATTCGTCTTAGGTAGGATTATTAGATATGATTAACAAAAGTTATCAAATACATTTTAATGGAAAGCAACTATTTACTACTTCTTATTGAGTAGATCAATAAACGTAGGATTGGCACTTACCTGAATTATGTGCTTCAGCTTATCAATGATCTGATTAATCACAGGATCAGTTCCTTTGACTTTGACTTCAGGATTTCCTGACTGAGCTCTGATTCCACTCCCAACCACACGCTGAGTATAGCTAACAAAGTACAAAACGAAAGACATGACTTAGTCACCTGGTCAGAGTATTATCTGCCACAACTACTTGAACAGATTTGAGTTTAAAATTTCTTCCTTTAAGAGTATAGGGCAATGTATGTTTTCTTAGATCACAAACTAGCAGATCTGCAATGTTTTTCAGGCAAAATACATATTGTACAAATAAGGAATATTCTAAAACTGGTAATTTTCTTTCAAAATATTCAACCAAAATTTATTTGTTTATAATTTACAAATGATAGGAATAATTAAAATATATCTCACTTTGTTACCAACTTTTACGTAACAGCACACATACCTACACCACACTGCCCGGGTAATTTTACTTCCTTGCATGGTCAGTCCCAATATTTTTCAAAAATTGACCCACATATGTACACATGTGCATATATAAAATTATACTTCCTCATATATATATTTAACTGCATTAGTCAATATAATAAATATTATTTAAAACTGTACAGTCAAAATCATTACTTTATACACAACTAATATCTGCAAAATCTTGTCAATAGTGGGAAAAACTGTTTCTCTGAAGTTCACTTAACAATGCTGTATGCAAAAGAGTGATTTCACAGGCAATAAAAGGCAATTGAAAGTGCGCAACCTTCGCCAAATGAAAATTGTATTTCAACTTAACATATTAAAATATTTGACTAATCAAGCACAAGGATGTATTAAGTCCCTATGGTATTAAACATTCTATACCAGATAACTAGAATTATTAGAAGGTGTAAGACTCAATTCTTATTTTCAAATGCTTATTATGGGTATATATCAATTACTGATATTTGCATTGATTCATTCCATTTTACTGTATTTTTAAGTTTACTAATAGATTCCAGCAATATAAAACTCTTATTTACTGAAGGTATAGTGTAGCATAAAGGCAAGTAAATGGTTAAAATGCAACACAAAGCAAATAAGTGGAAGGTATTGTACATGCCCGGTGTGGTGTAAGGATGGCACAGGTAGCTGATACTCTATATATGGAGAAGTACATTTAGACTCAGGCACATGGAGGAAAATTTAAAAGGATAATTTGTAAATTAAGATAGTCCTTGAGTCATTAAGGTGAGAATAAGTCTTCAATAGTGTGATTAATCAGAATTCTGGAGTAAAAGATGGCAACACAGCAGGATGAAATGGCAAAGGCTCTCTGTGAATAACATATTCGGGGAGAATAACTAGGCCTCATGTTTCATTTTTTGCTATTGGTTTAACAAACTGAGTTCTCATTCATGGGTTCATGTCCCAAATGCCCACAACTGCCAGGACTTGCCCAGGGACCAAGAATACAATACAGGTCTCCTACATGAGTGGCAAGAAACATTACCTGCTTCTTCTCAGGGTTCACATTGGGAGGAAGCTGCAGTTATGATCTGGAGCCAGAAATCAAACCCAGGTACACTGATATAGGACAAATATGTCTTAGCAGATGATTTAACATTTAGGCTAAATGTCCATGCAACTAGACTCTATTTACAAAGCAGACAGCACAAATGAGGGAGAATGAGACATAGGGACTATACCCCCCAAATTCCATCCTCTATGTTTAAGATTCTCCACTGAATAATTTGTTTGCCTAAGTTAAATATCATAATAAAATATTCTAAGATTTATTAGCAAAATATGAACAATATGAGCATTTTATAACATAATGCAATATTCTAGAAGACCCTCTTAACTCCTCTGTAGCACTGTCACATTATTCTTCATCAGTATTCTAAGTAGATCATATAGTTGGCTCCTTTATTAGTATTATGAATATTAAAAGTGGTGAATAATATGAATAAATAAATGAATAAATGTGTAACTGTGGTTCAGGTAGGGCTTTTGTTACTCTTTGTGGAGTTCGTCAAAACATCTTCAAGACAACCATTCAAGATGATCATGATTATGCGTCGCACAGTCTACTTCTATATTTGCTACCATCATCAGTGACTGAGTACAGCCAGGTTGCTAAGGCAGATCCATTGCTGGGGAATAAAAGGCTTGTCCAGTGACCAATTTGGATTCAGGATTCCTTGAAGCCCTCACTTTACTTTCTTGAGAAAATGCATCATGTTAGAAAGTATCCACACGATCTTCCACTCCTTACTCTGGACCAAACTTCCATCACAGCCCAGAGACCTTCCAGCCTTACACAGCCTTCACTCCATTTTCTCTCACACAGATTTCCCTTATTGAGATTTTCTGGAGTTTAATCCCTTTCAGAATCTGTCTATGGAGGGGCATTCAGACTCAAATATTCTGTATTTATATTATAGTTTTACCATTCTATAGATTAGAAATCATGGATAGGTCAAATGATTTCCCCATGGCCTCATTGCACATTGCAGAGTACAGAAAGGACAGGAATGCAGGGAAGGGGAGCTTTAAAATACAACCACAAATGAGTATTAATGAAAATTCTTGAAATAACAAATATAAATTGGGATTCAATTAGCTTGTTGTAGTGATATTTTTTCTCTGATTACAATATCTTCAAAGACTTCACTATTGATAATTAAGAAAAGATGTATGACTTTCTAAAAAAATACTCAGAAAACAATCGAATGTCACCAAACAATGAAAAACAGTTGTTGGATGAGAAGAAATTAGCAGACTGCCATGGGGTTTTCCTACATTTCTCTAGATATGCAAACATAATACAGACAACGGAAACTAAGACTGAGCTCTTAATTTCAATTAGGTTATTAACTTTCACATAGTGGTTTATTTACAAATCAGGAAACTTACACTTAGGGTGGAAGATTATTGTTTCATGCTGTTCTGAGGAATTGCTAAAATTCTGTTTGCCCTTAATTATCAGAACTAATAACAAAGTTAAATAATTTTACATACTTAGACAAAAATTATCAGAATTATAATCAAATAAGAATCCCCTATTATATCACTGAATATTTCAAAATCATTATTTTTTTTTGACAGGCAGAGTTAGTGAGAGAGAGAGACAGAGAAAAAGGTGTTCCTTCCATTGGTTCACTCCCCATATGGCTGCTACGGCAGGCGCGCTGTGCCCATCCAAAGCCAGAGAAGCCAGGTGCTTCCTCCTGGTCTCCCACGTGGGTGCAGCCCTCCTGGGCAACAGCAGAGAGCTGGACTGGAAGAGGAGCAACCGGGACAGAATCTGGTGCCCCAACCAAGACTAGAACCCGGGGTGCAGGTGTCACAGACAGAGGCTTAGCCTATTGAGCCGCAGCACCGTAGGCAGAGGAGGATTAGCCAAGTGAGCCGTGGCGCTGGCTCAAAATCATTATTCTTACATGTTATTTAAATAAGGAAAAATGTCACAAAGCAGGGACTTTATTTTATTCATTTATTTTATTTTATTATTATTATTTTTTTTTGACAGGCAGAGTGGACAGTGAGAGAGACAGAGGGAAAGGTCTTCCTTTTCCATTGATTCATCCTCCAATGGCTGCCGCACTGCGGCTGGCGCACCTTGCTGATCCAAAGCCAGGAACCAGGTGCTTCTGCTGGTCTCCCATGCGGGTGCAGACCCCAAGCACTTGGGCCATCCTCCGCTGCACTCCCAGGACACAGCAGAGAGCTGGGCTGGAAGAGGAGCAACCGGGTCAGAATCCGGCACCCGACCGGGACTAGAACCCGGGGTGCCAGCGCCACAGGCGGAGGATAAGCCTATCAAGCCGCGGCACCAGCCTGGGACATTATTTTAAATAACTCAAATGGAATACAATTTGATAATTCAATTATTTTTCTATTTCTGTAAAGTTACACAATGCAATAGTATTACATACACACCAGGATGTTCTAAAGGAAAAAGATACTTGCTATCAAGTGCCTGTAAGTATGTGGAACAATCAGATCACTACCCAATTATGGATGAAAAAGTAAAAATTATTGTAAATCACTATTTACCAAAAGTCAGGCACAAGAATGCTCAGAGAAGCACTATTCCAAATAACCCCATTATAGAACTCAAATATCCACAAACTCGAGCATGAGCAAATACACACAACAGTGTGTTAATAAAATTAAATAACTTATAGCAACAAAAATGAGTGAATTACAAGTATACTTATAAAGATAGCCAAGTTTTACAAATCAAATACTGAAGGAAAGCAATAATTTAAATACTTTATAATACCATTTATCAAAAATTAATAATTATGTTCCAATTCACTGTAAGTGCTACCCTAGGATATAGTGTCTAGAAGATGAGAAATGTCATGTTTCTTGACTTATCTTCTGGTTTCACAGGAGTACTCATTTTATTAAAAAAATTAATAAAGTGCCTGTGCCCCCGCACCCATGTGGGAATCTCAGAAGAAACCCCTGGCTCTTGGCTTCATATCCAACATCTTCAGCCACTGAGGTCATTTGGGAGTAAACTAGCGGATGGAAGACTTTTGTCTCTGTCTGTAACTCTACCTCTCAAATAAATAAAGAAAATTTTTAAAAATTGAAAAAAGACTTTAGACTTGTTTGTATGTATTTTCGACCTAGATAAAACATTTACATTAAATTTCTGTATGCTTTTTATCAACATGTCTATCTCAGACAAATTTTCATTAAATCATAAAGAAATAAAAGATCTACACAGGATTTTTAACATGAATTATATGGTTCTGCCATCACTAAGTAAGTAACTTTGGATCTTAGCTTGATATACCTCCAATAGACATCAATCTGCATGGAAAAAATGTGTTCGTAAATTGAATATTTTTCTAACAAATGCTTTTATAATTTGATTTTTTTCATTATTAAATTTTAACAGATCATTAGTTATTCTTTTCTTCCTCAATGTAAAAATGGGTAAGAACATTTCAAGAATCTCTATAGAGGTTTATTTATTTGAAGAATTTTTCCTCACTTCAGTAAAAAGGAGGGAAATAAACACACAAAAAAGAGAGATGATTTTTGTTGTTGCTGTTTTGGAAAAAGAATAGACCCACAATCTACACTTATTTGATCCAAGCAAGATAGTAATGGATACAGCAATGGAATAGGGAT